TGCCGTGCCGGTCTTCATAGGTGCTCACTAGCAGCACTTGCCCCAACAGTCTATCAAGGCTTCATGGGGGATCTTTGTCTTTGCCTATCAGTAGCAATTGCGCATCTCGGTCTCAAATCAAATCAGTGCCCGAATTATCTTTTCAGCCACGGTGCTGGGGGCTGCAGGCAGGAGCCGCACGACCCCGTCAGTGCTCGCTCACGTTCACTGTGGTCAGCGCAGTGGCTGCGTAGGCGAGCGATGAGTTCCTCTCGAAGACGAGCCAGTTTTCCGCGGGGGCGATGGTTCGATTCCCAGCTGCCGCACCACGAATTCACCACGCGTCCGAATCCAAGCGCCGCCGCAGCTTCCCCCACAAAGCCGACGTTGAAAACCCCCCTCGGCGTCATCCAACATTTTTCCGATTCCCTTTAAAAAAAAAAATCAATACTCTATAATTGAGTTGGAAATAAAATCGCTTCCCTTGCGGGGACCGGGGGGGGCGGGGGGGGCGGGCGGTTTGGACGCGCTTCCAAAACGAGACGTAGCGCCTCCGCAGGCCCGTCCAGTGTAAATACTTTGAAATAAAAAAAAGTAGCTGAGCGCCGTGTGCCATGTGAACGGCCCAGTGTGCAGGCAATTAGTCTTGGAAAATTCACACTGGCAGAATGCCACCTCGGGGTCCATTCAGCAGCTATTACTCAGCGCCGTGGGTCACTGCCACTGGCGGCGCTGTGCCCCTCTCCGCTGCCTGGAGCAGGGGTGGGGTTGACAGCGCCGTCTTGAGCAACGGTGGCTTGCGACAGCGGCTCTGCCGGAACGTAACAAATAGCTCCTCGCTCTCTCTCTCTCTCTCTCCTCGTCGGAGATGTTTGGGCCTGCGGTGCCATCTGCCTCCCTGCACCAATTGTGAAGGAGCCCACGTTTTCCCCTGAACCACTGATGCTAGCCTATCGTCCACCGCGTGTCATTGCCTGCTACCAAACTCTCCGCCGCTTAAGGGTACAAATTCACAGCCGGTGGGTTGAAAAGTGACTTGCTGTAAACATGCCTATCTAAATGTAGGGACCAAATTCCCATCGTCAACCATATAAATATATCCATTGCTCGATTCAAGGTCTTCCCTTCATATCGCCATCTTGCGATGCAGCAATCTTCTGCACAGCAGCTGATTGCATCGCTCCGCCTCCGCTGTAGACGTTCTCTCGGACACGTGCCCTTCGTTGGCTGCCAATCGATTATTAGTCTGCACCACCACCACCACCACCAATCGTCGTCCCTGCTCCCGATGTGCTCTGCACAAACCCACTTAATTTTCCTACGAGCCAATACGGTGCCTCTTAACGTGCATTAGCCATGTGGTTCCCCTTTCCCCGTCTCCCGGTTCAATTCCAAGCGTGCGCCTTTCCGTGCTTTCCTGCGCACACTCGTGAGCTTTTGTTAAATTTTCTTTGTCAACGTCCTTCTTTTTTCTCGATCCAAATGTCAGAGCGGGCAAACACGTTCAGCTTCATAATGTTTGTCCTTAGGCACATCGGCGTGGTTATTTTTTATTATTACGTTATAAGGTAAAAAAAAGAAGCACTCCCACTGACAAAGGACCTCAACCCCTTCCCCCCCCCCACCGCACACACATTCTAAATCCCGCAGACCCTGCTGGAGTACACCCCAAACCCGACTAACCGATGACAGCCCCTCCCTCTCGATGGCGCAACTCCTGGTTGACTGCAAACGTCACCGATCGCAACCCGGCAGGCAACTGACCCCCAAGCAGTAAAGCCCCCAGGGTTCAACCTACCACGTCAAAAATTGAACAACCCTCGACCAACTTGAGCACAGGGCCACGGAAAGAAGATGCGGCCCACTTGCCTCCACAAAGTGGAGAGTGAGGGAGCAGCCCAAATCGTGACTCCGTTTCCACCGCCCAAGTCAGACGATCGCCTCACGTACCGCCGGACTCCTGGCCCTGAGAGAGATCCGTTCCCTTTGGCATCGCGAGCTCACTCGCTCTGCCTCGCCTGAAGCCGTTGAATGGATCGCTAACCTCGACATCAAAACTACAAACTGCTTCCTCCAGCCACACGAAGAAGGAGAAGAAGACTATGCGAGGTTTATTTTTGTTACCCAACACCATCCCGGTATACAGTTACAAAATGAAGTGTACATTATACTGTGCATGACCTCACGTACGTCTGGAAATCTGGAAGTTACATTTAAAAGCAAACTCTAAAAATGTGGCTTAGGTCCCACACTGAAAGCTGGAGATGTAAAATCTGTCCAAATCATCTGTATATGTGCGGGCAGCCAAAACCAGCAGATTGACCTAAAATACAAAGCAGCGCTTTATGCGAACTACCAAATGGGAACAATTTGTCAACAAATTGGCTGCTGACATTTCAAATAAATGGCAGCGTGCATATTTATTGGACTTTGAAGGGTACAAATAAAAATGGTAAAATGACTTGTGTCTTTACAACTCAAACCGTTGGTCACTGTGAGTCATCGGAATAACACTGCGCGGTGAAATACATTGCATACATACATGCCAGAATGGAACGCAGGGGTCTTTTTTTCCATAATCGGCCATGAAGCTGCCTGATGATGTGGGAGATAAATTACTTCTGAGTTCATGATTTCTGTTAGATAACCACACCGTCCGTCACCTCCGTTGTAACTCTCTCTGGCGTTTAAAACCATCTAATTTCTCCCGTATTAACTGCCTACAAATAATGTGTTTCAATCCTTGAAGCAATACACGAGAATCTTGCACGCGAATGCAACTCATCCTTGATTAATGAACTCAACCAGGCAGTGTACTTAATTAAGAAATTATTTTGTTGTGTTCGTGAAACACGCAGACATTGACGCACTATTGGGGATATTTTAATGGCGTTGAATTTTGTACAGAAAATAAAACCCTCCCAAAAAAATTTTTGGCTCTGCAATTATTCTGACGAGTCATTTTATGTGCTACGAGGAAAGGCAATTGCCCAAAACGTCACCTATCGTATATCTTCCGTTTAGGCAGTGTTATTGATACAATTTTTTTAAAGTATAACAGTGTCATTACAGATCCATGCAGTGTTACTGAATGCAAGGCCCGTGTACGCGCAATGCATAGGCGGCCTCCGTGACGGTGGGTGAGACACAACAGCTAATCTCCGTGGCTTTACTAAATCACGCAGTGCACCTCTGATGCCTCTAACGTGAGGATAAGCCCAACGATATGGCAGGGCCACACCTTCAAAGTTGTTCTCTCTTCCCGTGGTCGTGTGGATTTTTACTCCGGGATCCTCTGGCTTTTCACACCCGCATGTAGGATCGACGTCACGCGTTTAGATTATTTGGCTGCTGTCAATTTCAACACGATACACCACTTTGTTGAGCTATAATTTGTGGCCAGGTCGCTTCTGCAAAATAACTCATTTCTCAGTGGGCTTTAGTATTTTAAATAAATTAGTTTAGTTGAGAACAGTTATTGTTATTGGTTAGATTACATGTAGGATCCGCGAATTTCGCCCCTAGCTTCGTCACAGATAACAGGAGCATAACTCTCCTATAATTAAATTACAACCATGCCACTACTGGCTTCCGACTCAGAATTGAGAATCCGGTTTGTGTGTTCCGCTGTGTTTATAAAGGTTCTGTCATCAGGATAATCGACATTTATGTCATCTCAGTTAAAGGGAGAAAAATGCAGACTGAAAGATACCGCGATTTTTGTCCAAGTGTGTGTGTGTGTGCCTCTTATCAACATCTAAAGATGTTGCGAGCCTTTGAACACCCACGGCACCCACAGTGGCTGCATTCCTGCTTACTGCGCTAAGGGGATAGGTCATGGCACTCTACCCCTTGCAATGAAGCTTGCCATGGAATCCTTACATTTAACGATGCACCTTTCAACAAAACAGCGAGTTGCAGCCTTGTGACTTGGAAGGTTCCTGACGCGGGACCGGAGCGTGAGCGTGTAACACTGCACAGTAAGGTCTCTGTTGGCCCTGCCTCTCCTCTGGCTTCAATCTTCCACGGTGTAACCGGAGGAACGGCCGCTACGATCCAAGGCCACCACCACCGCCTGCCTCCGAACTCCCCCGAGAGAGAGAGAGAGCCCTGGTCACACCGTCACATCACACCGCACCACCTGTCTGGCCGGCGAGATGAATGGGCGCGCGCCCATCCTCCTAACCGCCACCCGGCTACCCCCCTCACCTCGGCCCCGCCCCCCCGGGTGACCTGACCAATTCCAGCTTACTGGTTCCCCGCCGTGCCAGGACATACCAAGCTGCCACCGCTGCTGCTGCTGCAGCAGCTTGGCAAAACGAGCGATGCGGCGCGCTGTGCCAGCATTCGGCGGGGCCGATGAACGACACTCGGCTAGCAATTGATGCGAATGGCTGCAATAACTTTTTACGGTTGAAGTATTCCTCCAATCGCGAAGCATTTTCCAGAGTGGGCAGTGGGCGAGCTGTGCCGGTTTTTTTGGCACTCCGCTCGCGTGAGTATATTTGCTGCTGTTGCGGACCGCTCTTTTTGCAAAATTACCTCATATTTCACGCGCAATAATACGTGTCTTGTAATAAGTTACGGCAGCGTTTTTATTTTGTTATATATTTTTTTTTTATCCAGGCCTCGCGAGCAACCCACCACACGTCTCTTCCCGTTCACAGGTCCGCTTCATACAAATACAAATGTTTAGTCGTTCGCGTATGTACGCATGTATGTTGAACTTCTTTTCGCACCGTACGTAGCCGACCGTGCTCGTCGGAGGTGTGGGACCGTGCTTATCGGAGGTGCAAAAATCGGGCTTCCTTTTCACATTGCGTGTTACGTGTGCACGACGGTTGTAGATATGGCTCACCAGGACTGAAGTTTGAGAACCCCCTGAGTTTAGAGAAAGGCACACAAAACCGCCCACGGCTTCTCTCCTTTCTCATCGGCCGGTCTGGCAGGGGGGGGAGGGGAGGAGTGTAACGTGCAGAAGAAATTCAACGGAAGCTTTGTACACCGGCGTAATAATTTTCTTACGATGCCTTTATTCTCGTGCATGAATAATGAAGCAATTATACAACGGCTCTGTTTATTTTGGTTGGGACGCGCGGCGTTGGGCCGTAGCACGGTTATAGAGTCTCGACGCCAGCTGCGAAAATGCCAGTCAACTCTTTTTTTTTCCTTTTTGCTGGGTGGCAGCGTGGACATTGTGGAAAAAAGTAATCGCGACTCAGTACACGTGAACCGGCACCGCGCGCATAAATGAGCATCGACACCTTGGTACGGTCGGTGCTCATTGTGCTCATTACTGACCGTGTGAATTAACTGTGTGAACACACACACGCACGCACACACGCACGCACGCGCAGGATGGAGAGGAATTAGAGCATCGTCGTTAATGTCTATCTTGAGAGAAAAAAGTCACCCTGTAAACATCGTCCTCCGGAGCACTAAAAGAAAAACTAAATAATCCATTAAAACCGTTGAGAGCGTCGCAAGAGGCCGCCAGCCGAGGAGATGGAGCGACGAACTCCGCTCATGTGCTCGGTGGATTATTACATCGCAGATCGTGAGAGATAGCGGAAGAGGCTTTCATCCAGCAGCGGATTGACCAAGCCCGATGATAACGATGGCGAATGCTACATTAACCCAGTGTAATTGAACGTGCCGATTGCCAGTCGTAAACGTGTAAATGTTTACCGCTGTTATCAAGGCACGATGAAATACACATTAGGGGCTGGTAAAACACGCTGGGAATACGTTGGTATAAGTGCATGCAAGCGTACACATTCTTCCAACCGTATTTCTAACTCGGCACCTCTAACGTCAAGGCACTGGCCATACATCTGTGCACGTTTTAGCAGTAGCTCATTCTAAAAACGAGTTTTCAGCACGAAACAACTTTCATCAATGAATTCCAACTATATCCAGGTACAAACATTACCGACGGAAGGCACACTGTTTTATGACACGAGGCATTGTTCCATATGGCCGAGCGATTATAGCAAAAACATATCAAAAATATACATTTACAAAAGAATATTAGATTGTTTCCATTTGCAAAAGTAGGGCTTCCTTTCAGATACGTAAGTTGCGGGCAATCGAGTTCGTTCAGAATGTGTGGCAGTGCTGTTTTTTTACGGTAGGAGCCCTATTTTATGCATGTATGTTGAACTTCTTTCGCACCATACGTAGCCAACCGTGCTAATCGTATGTGCGGGATGGCCGTGAGCCGCGCCCCCCGGGAGGCCGGAAGGCAGCCCGGAGGGCAGCAGCAGGGGGTCCTTTAGTCCGAAGCAGGGACCACTTCCGTCCACATGTCCCCTTGGAATGCCCACAGATGTGCGTGAGCCCACCGACACGCACGCGCGAGCACGCTCGCGTGCTAAGTGAGCCGTCCGCACCCTTCGCACACTTTGCGCTTTCCCTCCCAGAATTTGGCGGCCGCGACCGGCAACGACGACGCCCGGGGACTGAGCTCAGACCGAGCCGTCTTCGCTGTCGTAGCCGCTGGCGTCCCCGGCGGAGTGGCCGTGAGTGCCGCCCGCCCGGAGGCCTGTGGGCAGCTCGGAGGGCAGCAGCGGATCCTTGTGGACGTCGGCGGGCAGCTCGCCCTCCTGCGCCCCCGTACCCAGCTGGCTGCCCTTGACGCGCTTCCACTTCATGCGCCGGTTTTGGAACCACACCTTCACCTGCACGGAAGGGGGGCAGCTCATTTCCACGTTGATCACTGCCGTCTCCTCCCCCCCCCCCCCCCCCCCCGCGGTAGTTTCTTTATTTATTTAACAAATGTTTTTAGACTGTCATACAGTGTGTCCTGCACCCTGGGAAATGAGATGGAATCATTAAAACTAAACTTTCAACTATTTTTATTTTTCCAGTTGAGGACCACTGAGCTATATAGCACTTTTTCAGAAGCGACCTGGCCGGAGAAATTTCCACACGGCCACGGGGAAAACACACAAACTCCAAATATACAGCAGGCGCCTGGGTCGGGATCGAACCCACGACCTCCTGCATACCAGGTGAGGCAGTTAACATATCGCCAAAGAAGCTGGAGCCTACGTTTGGGTAACTAATGTTCGTGGACAGGCCAGGGAGGCGAGATTCAGATGGTTCGGGCACGTGTTGAGAAGAGATGGAACAGACGCAATGAGAAGGGCCGTGCAGGGCGGGAAGAGCGGGGGGGAGGACCGAGCGAGGGATGGGAGGATGCGGTGAAACGAGGTATGGAGACAGCGGATGTGAATCGAGAAGAGACGCAGAGTAGAAGCTCATGGAGACAGTAACGGGACTTATGTCTGAGAAGAAAGAGAAGGCAGGGTGCCCAGAAACCATGTAACTCTTTTAGTTCACAGTGGAATTTTTTTTTTAAATTTGGTTGAGAACATATTGGTATTTCTGTTACATTTCAACGGGTAATCTGAATGCCATTCCTGCCGCATCATCAATAGGTCCTTGCTTATGAGAATGACCAAAAATCAGCGTGAAAATTTTTGCAAGCATAAAAACCACCAATGCCACGTGTTGTTAGTGATCGATGGAGAGAAAAAAAACTATTGGAACGCGGCAGTATCAGTTGCTGGATAAGATTGCTTTTGATTCATAAACAAAAATATGGCAGGAATTATGGGTCACCTTGAGCACGATACAAACAATGGAACGTTTTCACATTTAAATTTCAGGCTCATATAAATACGTTTTGTTCAGTCGTGTAATTAGAGAGGGCAAAACATTTACACAGATTAAGGAGCAGGAGGCAGAGCGACATGCCATTTGAAAGGGTTACGTAATTTAAATTTCAATCACGTAAATCTGTCGCTTTGACTTTTCCCTATCTGATCAATGTTACGTTCTTTCCATCTTATTCTCAGGAGATGAAGTCGGCACACATAATTACTACATCTTGATATTTACAGATTTTTTTTGGGTTCGTTTCAGAGACGTGCCATGCCTTGCAGTGGAACAAATGATGAGACTTGGAAAAAAAGAAGAGGGGAACTGAAATGAATGTGAATGTTTCGATTGCGTGTGCGGACCCAGCCTTGTAGCTCTCGAGCTTACAGGCGGTGCTCATGGGCTGCAGGGGGTCCAGGCACAGGACTCAGGGCGCCGCGGTGGTGAAATGTTTACTACCTCGCCTGGTGTGCAGGAGGCCGTGGGTTCCTGACCATTGACGCCTAAATATTTGGAGGTTTTTTTGCATGTTCTTCCAGTGACCACGTGATATTTTCTCCGGGTCCTCCGATTGTTTCCCTCCACATTTAGAAACATACGTTTATAGAGTCTTTGACTCCTACACATTTCCACGTGATAAGCCACTTCGTTGAGCTATCACTTATGGCCAGGTTGCTTCTGAAAAAAGAGCTACATAGTTTAGTGGGCTTTACCTGGAAAGATAAAAAATAGTTCATAGTTTTTGAAGAGCAGGTGATATTGGACAAGTGGCCCCATGTTTTTTCTCGCCAATGCCAAACACGCTAACGCCGCTATCATAAACCAGTGATTAAAGCGTGGGGAAATGCGGGCAAGCTATTTTCATTGTACGCGGAAGGGGGGACGCAGAGGTAACTTGTGTGCCATAAGCATTGACTTGACAGGAATCTTTTTATTTATTGAGGGGCATGTATGTTGAACTTTTTTGCACCGTACGTAGTCAATCGCGCTCATCAGAGGTGCGGGGGAATAACAACTACATAAATACAAAAAGCTGTTCTCAACAAATGAGTTTTCAATCTAGGGGCCTAGTATGGACGGCATGGGCCCTGGTACAGGAAATAAAATGGGGGCCCTCTGTACAATCTCTCCTCTCTTCGTAGCCGAGTGCATGGGCCTAGTGGTAGCGAATTTGCCCCCAGCGCGTGGGCCTCTTCTGCCCGTGGGCCACCGGTGCAATTGCACTGCCTGCGCATTTGAAATCTATGCCACTATCGAGGGCGCTGCTGCCGTTTCACGTCCTGCCATCATTGTGTCCCCAACTGCCTTATTCTGCTGATGATGAAATCCTGCTTTGTCCCACTGAATGTAACAATAATTACGCGGCACAGCCCTGCATCAACCGCTCTGTTTTACTGTCACACGCTGATCGGCATTTATGTGTTCTTGGGGTGTGTGCCCATTTTATACGATCATGATTGAGTGATTTAGATCAATTGTGATGTTGGTCTAAAAGAGATAGAAAGCTGATATTTGACACAAGTTTTGTGTTGAGTATATCCTTAGTACAACGTAACATTGAACAGATAGGGAAAAGTAAAAGTACCAACATTTGAACTATAAAATGTTTGAATTTCCAAATATTACAGCCAAGGGTTGACCGGTTTTATTCATAGGCATGATCCATCCTGAAAGTTCTACATTGTGTTGCGTCTTGTGTTAAACCAATATATGCTGCCCATCACCAGTGGACCAAAGTAGAACGTGACGCTAAGGCGGGTGAATCCCGATCCCGATTACCGTGCTGAATACCCAGGGTTGTCCTGTCACCTACCTGGATGGACCCAGCTGATAACTAACCCTAAGTGGTACCACACATCATACTAATTCGCAGAACTCCCCCGATCTTTGATACTATCAGCATGACTCCTTTAATCGCGGGAGCTGTAGGATCCTTTAAAACCACTACTATCCAAGCCCCTTTTGTCCCTAACATCCGTTATTTATATAAACAAGTGGAATGACATCACGGATATTAGGATCAGTGACATTTGTCAGCAGAGCCATCCATGGGGGGAGGGGCTGGGGCAAATCCCACGCGGTGTGGGCCCCCCCCCCTCCCGACGATTTTTTTACTAAACCGGAAGTATTACATCACACAGCGTGACGTCGAAGCGCTCCCCCCCTCCCAAACACGGGGCCCGGGGCGGTCGCCCCGATTCCCCATGACCCCCTCGGGACGGCTCCATTTGTACCCCACACATTTACGCGGATTGGGAGTTCTACAAACGAAAAGTAAATGTGGATTTACTCTCCAACACACCGGTGTGTTGTACTAGTGTTCTGTTAACGTGACAAACCTTACTAATTGTCTGTGTCGGGTGGTGGCGGGTTTAACGACACATTTATATTTACGCGATCAAACCCCCCCCCCTCCCCCCCCAACAAAAAAAAACCCGCCTCCAGTATCAACGAAAAGTCCCGATCATCTAGCGCGCGGCGCGGGTGGTCGGGTGAACATGGGGACAGGGCACCTGTCTCTCGGTGAGCTGCAGGTTCACGGCGATCTCGTATCGGCGCAGCCGCGTGAGGTAGTTGTGGTGCGCGAACTCCGCCTCCAGTTCCCGCAGCTGCTCCTTGGTGAAGGCCGTGCGCTCCTTGCGGGGCCGAGCGGCGCTCGCCGCTCCTCCGCGACGCGCCCGAGGCTCCTCCGGGCTGTGCCCTGCGCGCGCCCCCGACACGAACGACAAAGACAAAGGATCCCCCACCCCCGTATAGCCTTTAACACACTGTCGGGGGCAAGTGCTGTTTGGCGAGCGCCGGTTGAGGCCGCCGCGGTACACGAGGTGGTGTGTGGTGAACACCACGTCCGGCCGCCTTTGTCTCCCCAGTGCTGATGTTTGCACACACACACACACACACCTCGTCACCTCCACATCCATCCCCCGGCTACCCACCTCATCAGATGTACACCTGCTTATCTTGTACGGGGACGTTCACAATAATTTGCTACGAACCGAATCAGGAGAAGATTAAAAAAAAGACACATCGCGCCGTCTGCTTAGCAGATGACGTTAAAGACCCGGCCGTGACGTTGTTCGAAAAAGACGGAGGCTGCGGTGTGTCGGCGAAATTAAAAAAAGTCTAATTATTGAAGTGTGTAAAGCCACAACGCAGCATCGCACCCCTGCCGTGAAACTGTCGTGGACTCCACCCTGCAGGGAGACAGCCAGTAGCCTTCGTGATAGCCTGCAGAATGTACTCATTTGGTTTGATGTGACCCTTATTATTATTATTCTTGAAGGGTTAGGGCCAGTAGAAATTGATCGCAAGGCGGATTACACGACCGAGGCTGCTTCATTTATGCGCTTTAGGAAGCGTGCGAGGGCACGGAGGAGACGTTTGACGCATTCGACAAATGCCACGGATGCATCTCTCGCTTTGTCATACCCGAGTGACCGTGGTTCTAATGAGGGTGACGATTTGTGGTCGCTGCCGGCATCGCCGCCGGTTACGTTACGACGGACTTTTACCTTCAGGATTTACAGCCGTGGAAAACTACTGCGTCAAAAGGAATGAACAACAAAAAAACAGCACACCGCGAACACGTGCGCTGGAAAGGTGAAGTATGGTGAGGTTTTTTGTTTGTTTGTTATTGCTTCTCTGTTCGCTTAGATTTATGAACGCGCGTAGACCTACACATTACTTATTCCGTAGCACTTGCGTCTTTCACTTGTAGCGCTGTGCGGCCACATGCTCGAAAGGGCAAGCGCGTTCCAAGCGTGCGCCCGTGTGGTCGGAGTTGCCGTCTAACAGCTGGCGACCGCGGCGAACGCCGAGTGATCTCGATTTAAAGCTTTCGTGACTGCAGGGATCCATATTCTTGGTTCTTTCGGTAAAGTCACCACGTAGAAGGGAAACAATACAATAATAAAAATATAAAACAATAAAATTGTTAGCCCACACACTCCCACATTGACGCTTACTTGAAATAATTGAATTTTGATTTAAAGCTTTCGTGACTGCAGGGATTCATATTCTTGGTTCTTTCGGTAAAGTCACCACGTTGAAGGGAAACAATAAAATAATAAAATATAAAACAATACAATTGTTAGCCCACACACTCCCACATTGACGCTTACTTGAAATAATTGAATTTTGACTTAAAGCTTTCGTGACTTGCAGGGATTCATATTCTTGGTTCTTTCGGTAATGTCACCACGTAGAAGGGAAACAATTAAATAATAGAAATTTAAAACAATAAAATTCTCACGACGTTTCGACTGCAACACAAGCAACCGACATGCCACGGCAGCACA